AAAATCCCTTTTGCTAGCTATCGGTACCGAGAAGGTCAGCGCAGGCGCAGAGTATCCCAAGGGTGTGAATGCACAGATGACCACTCGAAGATCACCAGTTACAGGTAAGCAACCTGTCTTTCTGGTCACCACACCTTAAAAAGGATAGTATAGCTTTGGAAAAAGTGCAGAAAAGGGCAACTCGAATGTTAAAAGGGTTGGAACACTTTCCCTATGAGGAAAGGTTAAAGCGCTTAGGACTCTTTAGCTTGGAGAAACGATGACTGAGGGGTGACATGATCGAGGTTTATAAGATTATGCATGGGATAGAGCAGGTAGAGAGAGAGGTACTTTTCTCCCTTTCTCACAATACAAGAACTCGTGGGCACTCAATGAAATTCCTGAGTGGTTGGGTTTGAACGGATCAAAGGAAGTCCTTCTTCACCCAAAGAGTGATTAACACATGGAATTCACTGCCACAGGAAGTGGTGGCAACTACAAGCATGGACGGCTTCAAAAGGAAATTAGATAAGCATATGGAGCAGAGGTCCATCAGTAGCCATTAGCCACAAGGTATAGATAGGGGCTCTGGGGCAAGTGATGCTCTGTCTTCTTGGTGCTTGGGGGGGGGGGTCAACAGTGGGAGGGCTTCTAATGTCCTGGCCCCACTGCTGGACCTCCTGATGGCACTGGTATTTCTGGCCACTGTGTGACACAGAGTGTTGGACTGGATGGGCCTTTGGCCTGATCCAACATTGGCGTCTCTTATGTTCTTATTGTACTGTTTTTATGATGTTACCCGCCCTGAGCCCATTTATGGGCTAGGCAGGCTATAAATACAAATAATAAATAAATATATTTCCACACTGTAATTTTCTCTTTAGGAGGGTTGGTATTCATTTCATCACAAAGACAATGATGATGATGAAGTAAAGAATGAGAAATAGGGCTTGGAATAGTGGAAAAATTGAGAAATAGGTTTGGATCCCAGGAGACAGCAGAACAGAAAAGAAAGAACAAGAGAAGACCACAAATATCAAGACCTACAAATAGAGTTAGAGAACCTCTGGGAGAGAAGAAGGTGACCATCATGCCAGTGGTCATTGGAGCCCTTGGAGCAGTGCTTGGAAGTCTCAAGAAACACCTGGACATTCTGGGCACTGGGCAAATAACACCAGCTCGGCTCCGGAAGACAGTGTTGCTTGGAGCAGCAAGAATCCTGCAAAGATACATGTGCAATTCTCAAAAACTTGGCTAGGTCTTGAATTGCAGAACACCATCAACAAGTCAAATATCTGACTGTGACAAAATAATAATAATGGTGGTGGTGATGATACTGCAGCATCTCTTGTTGTGTTTAATGCATCTCCTTCCCGTCTCTCAAACGCAGGTCATCCCAGATTGGAAGGAGAAGCAATGGTATGCCGAGAAGCCAGAGAACTATGCCGGGATTTTCCATTTCCAGTTCTGGCGGTTTGGCACCTGGGTGGACGTGGTGATTGACGACCGCCTGCCCACACTCCACAACCAACTCATCTATTGCCACTCCAACTCCAAGAACGAGTTATGGTGTGCGCTGGTAGAGAAGGCCTACGCCAAGTGAGTAAACCAGGAAGGGATTCATAACTAGGGACAGCGGGTGTCCTGTCGACCCCCTTCTCTGGGCCAGTTTGGCTGCAGATCCTGGAGATTTTTTGTCATCTTCTGGGCAAGGAGCAAAGTTCATTGGGGTTGGGGCGGGAGGTATTTGTGAATTTCCTGCATTGTGCAGGGGGTTGGACTGGATGACCCTGAAGGTCCGGTCCCTTCCATCTCTATGATTCTATGGCATGCTCCAAAGAATTAGTCCCTTTACAATCCTCTGTGGAGGTAACGGGAAACATATCCCCGGTCTCCTTAGTAACATAATCTCCCATTCTGTTTCTAGGCTCTCCGGTTGTTACGAAGCCCTTGATGGAGGCAACACAGCGGATGCCTTAGTAGACTTCACCGGCGGCGTCTCGGAGCCGATTGACCTGCTAGAAGGCGGCTACGCCAATGATGAGGCCAAGCGGAACCTCCTCTTCGAACGGGTGCTCAAAGTCCACAACCGGGGAGGCCTCATCAGCTGTTCCATCAAAGTAAGGAGCCAGGTCCATCGATGCAGCACAGGGGTCCCCGACGTGGTGCCCACCAGAGAGCCAGTTTGGTGTAGTGGTTAGGAGCGTGGACTCTAATCTGGGAGAACCGGGTTTGATTCCCCCACTCCTCCATGTGCAGCTGCTGGTGTGACCTTGGGTCAGTCACAAGTTCTCTTAGAGCTGTTCTCTCAAAGGCAGTCCTTGAAAGACCTCTCTCAGCCCCACCTCCCTCACAGGGTGTCCTGTTGTGGGGAGGGGGAGGGGAAGGAGCTTGTAAGCCGCTCTGAGATTCTTTCGGGTAGTGAAGGGCGGGGTATAAATCCAATCTCTTCTCTTCTCACCAAGATCTTTCCTGGCGACGGCCAAGTGTTTATAGAAAGTGGGCGGGGCCAGGTGGGGCTTTTGCCCAGCAGAACTTCTGATTGGCTTTGCAGATTTAAAGGCATCCTGTTCAACACAGCTTGTGCCTGAAATGTAGAAGAGTTAGGGTTACACATAATCTCACTCCCTGACGTTCTGTGGTTGGCTCCACCTCCCACAGCAGCCATTTTGTGCACCCGTCATTGTGTTTTAGAATACCAAAAGTGTCCACAGGCTCAAAAAAGTTGGGGATCCCTGATCTAGAGATCAGACCTGATTTTACCCTGCCTGGATTCCAAGGAGTTCAGGGGCATTATGCATAGTCTGCCCCGCCTTCAATTTATCTGCACAACAACCCTGTGGGATAGGCCAGGCTGAAAGACAGTAACTGGGCCAAGGTTACCCAGTGAGTTTCATGGCTGTGCACGGATTCGAACACAGGCCTCCCAAGGCTTAACTTGACATTCTCACTACTATGCCACAATAGTTTTCTTGTTCCTAAAGGGGGAGAATCTAGAGATCTTGATAGCAAAGATTTTTTTAAAAAGAAAGAAACTGATAGACTGCTCTACGTGATGAAGTTCTGTAAAATGTAGCAACCTGAGGTGTTTTCCTTACGGGGATCTTAAGTGACCCTCAGAGGAATACATATGTATAAAACTTGTCTGTCCTTAATCTGTGCTTCTTCATTCTCCACGTGTTCAGCTTCAGAAAACCCAGTACTGTTTAATATTTCAAACGGGAATGTATGTTTTGGTTTGAATATTTCACTAAAAGGGCAACAGGGTCAATTAGACCCCGGGGTCAATACAGCTAGAATGCGAGTCCGTCTGTCCTTCTATCACAAGGTTGATGGATTTCCATTCTGTTCGGCTAAACGTGGTGCCTTCCATGGAGACAGGTCAAGATGGGTAGCCGTGATCAAGGTGTCTCCCCTGCCAGGTGTAGATATTTGAAGATGATACAGAAAATTATTATAAAATTATTATAGAAATAACAAACATCAAAATTGAGTTGTTACACCAGTTTGGTGTAGTGGTTAAGTGCGCGGACTCTAATCTGGGAGAACCGGGTTTGATTCCCCACTCCTCCACTTGCACCTGCTGATGTGACCTTGGGTCAGTCACAAGCTCTGGCACAGCTGTTCCTGAAAGAGCAGTTTGTGGCAGAGCTCTCTCAGCCCCACCTACCTCACAGGGTGTCTGTTGTGGGGAGGGGAAGGGAAAGGAGTTTGTAAGCCGCTCTGAGACTCCAAGTGAAGGGCGGGGTATAAATCCAATCTCTTCTTCTTCTCTTCTACCTGAAATTGTCCCGTTAAATATGATACCGGAAAATTACAAATGGAATGATAAATACATGATAATTTATATACTTACAACTGCTAGAATTTTGTTAGCTAGATTTTGGAAGCAAGAACATATTCCTACACGAGAAGAGTTAGCAAATAGATTACTAGAAACAGCAGAGATGGATAAATTAAGTCTTATGCTACAAGGTAAAGATGACAGTGTGTTCGTGGAAAGATGGAAGCGTCTGTATGAATGGATTAATTCTGTGTGAGGATTTTAGACTCCAATGTACGCAGGAATACCTATGTAAATGGATATATATCTGATGGGAAAACGAAAATAAATATTGCAAAGCAATACTAAAAGAAATAAAAATGGGTAGCCGTGTGAGTCTGTCTATAGCAGCAGGAAAGAACAAGAGTCCAGGAGCACCTTCAAGACTAACAAAATTTGTGGCAGGGGAGGAGCTTTCCTGAGTCACGGCTCACTTCTTCAGAGTCTTCAGTGTCTCACAGAAGCTCACCCCCTGTCACAAATTTCACTAGTCTTTAAGGTGCAGCTGGACTCTTGCTCTTGTCTTTCCCCTCATAACCGCTGCCTCCGCACTGTCTCCTTGGCCAGGCCACCTCAGCCGCCGACATGGAAGCCCGCCTGGACTGCGGCCTAGTCAAAGGCCACGCCTACGCAGTCACCGACGTGAGGAAAGTCCGCCTCGGCCACGGCCTGCTGTCCTTCTTCAAGTCCGAAAAGCTGGACATGATCCGGTTGCGGAACCCCTGGGGGGAGAGAGAGTGGAACGGCCCCTGGAGCGACACGTGAGTAAGGGCGGGAAAGGGCCAGCCACTGAAGTGGGGGACTAAAGCAGGCCGTTTCCCTCCACATTGCCCACACTCAGGGATGCCAGTCTCCAGGTGTGAGCTGGGGATCCCGCCCCCCCCCGAATTACAGCTCATCTCCAGACTACAGAGATCAGTCCCCCCTGGAGAAAATGGATGATTTGGAGGGTGGGCTCTGTGGCCTTGTACTCCACTGAGGTCCCTGTCCTCCCCAGGCTCCACCCCCAAATCTCCAGGAGTTTCCCAACCTGGAGCTGGCAATAGGGTTGCCAAGTCCTACCTGCTGCTACAGCAGGGGACTCCCGGTTCGCTCCTGGCAGGGAAACCCATAGAGTTTTCCCTCGGATGACCGTGGCCCTGCCCCCAATGTGCCCGGCGTGGTCGCGTCACTTCCGGGTGAGGTGCACGTCGCGTACTTTGGGGGTGGGCTTCCCCCCGGGGCCCTATCCGCCAGCGGCGGGGAACGGGCCTCTGGGGCGGGGGTTTCCTCGCCCCCCCGGGGGGACTTGGCAAGCCTAGCTGGCAACCCTACCCTCCCCCCCCCGGTGGCCAAGGGGGACACAGCAACCTTACCTACACTCCCTTTTTCACCTGGTTTGTCTTGAGGCAATACAATACACCTGTGAGGGCCAGGGGCTTGCATGGTAGAATCTGGAGTCTGGAGGAGTCTGGAGACTGAGCCCTACGAGGAAAGTCTAAGGGCCTTGGGGATGTTTAGTTTAGAGAAGAGGAGAAGAGGAGATTGAGGGGGGGACATGATTGCTTTCTTTAAATATCTGAGAGGCTATCATGTGGAGGAGGGCAAGGAGCTGTTCCAGTTGGCAGCAGAGGAGAAGACCCGAAGCTTTTTCATGGTCAGGGTGGTTCAAAGGTGGAATCAGCTGCCTTGGGAGGTGGTGAGCTCCCCTTCACTGGAAGCTTTCGAGAAGAGGCTGGACGAATATTTGTCAGAGATGCTTTAGGCTGGTCCTGCATTGGGCAGGGGGTTGGACTAGATGGTCCGTATGGACCCTTCCAACTCCATGATTCTATGAATGTTCCTTCATACTTTTTTAAAAGACATCCCTCCCACTTAGGAAACTAGCATGTCTGGGAGATTATTCTAGTCTCGGGTTCCCAGATCATGCCTGGCAACTGGCTGGAGCTTGGAGGGTGGTGACATTGGGGGGGTGGGGGTGGAGTCCCGCGCACCAAGGTATCATTTGTGAGAGAACCGGGAAATGTATTTATTTATTTATTTCATTAGGCTTCTGTACCACCCTCCCCACATGCGGGTTCAGGGAGGTGCACAACAAAATTCATAAAATACATATAAATATAATACACAATCTAAAACCCCAATCCAGCGATGTTAGGTAGCTCTAGCAATTGCTGAGAACTCGGTGGTAAAGCCATAGAGTTTCTGGTGATTCCTAGAGCTACCCAATGCCATTTCCGGGTTTTCTACGGAAGTAATGTCGTGGCCCACACTACGCCAACTTAATCTGAGCAGCAGCGGGCAATAAAGGTGGCAGCTGTTTCTAACTGAGTTATCTTCGACATGGTCTCTGTGCTTCACACCCATGGGATCTAGTGCGCATGCGCTGGATCGATCGCCATTGTAGCAAGCTCTTTAACGGATTTTCGCACCCAGTCCCTCGGGCATGCGCAGGAACCCCACCGCGCAGGCCCAGAGGGGTGGGCGCGGACATCCCACCAGTTCCTTTCTTACCGCCGCGTTGGAAAGACCTCTTTCTTCATTGGTCTGATCGGTTCAAGTATTTTGCCTTTTTGCCTCATGGCTCTTTGGATTTTTTCCCCTCAGTTCATTCCTTTTATTCGTTATTCTTTCAAAAACTTTAAAAAAAACAACTTTATTTTCTGCTGAGGGGGAGTTTGCCGATTTACCTCAGTCGGGCCTTTGGGCTACCCCCACCCCCACCCCTTCTTTCTTCTTCACTTTGGCTTTTATGGAGAAGAAGTGGGGCTTTTTTAATAGGTGCAAGGGTTGCGGTAGTAAACGTGCTCCTCCTGACCGTCATACCCTTTGCATTCTTTGTCTCGGAGAGTCTCATCGACCCGAATCTTGTCATCACTGTGCTCGGTTTTCAAACCAGCCCCGAAAAAAACGAGCCGCGCACCTTAAAGTGGCCCTGCTTGAATCGGCCCTATATCCTTCCTCAGCCATGGACGCCGAGAAACCATCGACCTCAGCGGCTCCGGCATCGAGGCCTGCCTCCGATATCGGCCAACTGACGCTGAAGCCTCCGGCATCGAAGGCGCAATCCTCCGCTTCCACGCCAGTGAAAAAGAAGTCCAGGCCAAGTAAGGACCAAAAGTCCGCAAAGAAGGGCTCTTCCAAACCCCTTAAAGCAGCAAAGAAGGGGAAAGTAGCGGTGGCTGCACTGGGTGATGCCCCTAAAGTGCTCCCGCTCCAACGACGGTATCGATACCGGAGGCCCAATCCCCTCCACCGATACTGACCATCCATGTCTTGGACTCCCTTGTCCACCAAATGGAGCGTCCTTACTCCGAAATCGAAACGGTAGAGCTCCTAAGTCATCAAATGGATGCAGAGCCTTCTCTGTCTCCTTCCCCGTCGTCGACGGTATCGGAAGCTCCCGACATCGATCCACGTTGGCACCGATATACTTCATGTGACACGCAGCGTTACCCTCCACGTCTGCACGGTCTATCTGTCGATATCGACGACCGAGATTATACGGGCTCCTCTCAAAGACAGGCTGCCGCTTTGTCTCCGAGACGTCCACAGTCCAGAAGTCGATCCCCCCGAGTCTTCTTACCCCCGCCACCACCTCTGTCTTGGGATCAACAACAGATGAGGTATCTGTATGGGGCTTATCCACCATCCTTGCCATGGTTGACTCCGGCGGGCTATTCCGACTGGGATCGATATTCATCCCACTCTGCTCATAGATCGAGATCGCCCTACAGGTCGAGACCTTCAGCATCTCTCTCTCATCCTCCTGCAGACGATCCTTCCCAGCATAACTTGGAACACAGTCGTCCTCCCAACCGTCAGGTCGTTCAAATCCCAGTCGTTTCCACCCCTGTCGTTCCACCAAGACCTTTAACTGGTCAACAGGACACTCCTGTCCAAATGCCACACCAGGAGTCCTCCGATTCAATGGAAGACAATTCCGATACCAAAGCATCTGAGGCTCACACCTCCCCTGATCATAAGTCTCCTAATCAAGCTGTCGCTGATGATTTGCCCATCTCCCCATCCGACAATCTCACGTCATACACAGATCTTGTTAAGAGAATGGCCCATTCTCTAGGCCTCTCTGTCGTTCAGCAACACCCGCAGGTGACGGATGCGGTCTTTGACATTGTCCCGCTTGATACATCTTCCACTCTGGCATTACCCATGTCCACTGTCCTTTTGCAAGCTACAAAGGCACCATGGGAGAAACCTTCGTCAGCCCCGGTGTCGACAAGACAACTGGACCGTATGTACAGAGTCCAAGAGACAGGGGCCGAATTCCTATTCTCCCATCCTCAACCAAACTCAGTGGTTGTAACATCCTCCTCAAAATCTAAACGAACACACTCTGCACCTTCAGACAGAGAAAGTAAAAAATTGGACGCCTTTGGCAGACGCTTCTACTCCGCCGGAGCATTGGGTGTCAAAACCACTAACTATCTGTTTCAAAGCATGCCCTAGATGCATCTTCCAGGATGATGGCCTCTGCTATAGCACTCAGGAGACATTCCTGGCTCCGCATTATGACTCTCCCTCTGGATACTAGGTCTTATGTTGAAGATCTTCCGTTTGACGGCCTTGGCCTCTTCCACACCAGTACTGATTCCACACTCCAAGAATTAGACAAGAGCATAAAGGCTTCTCGAGCTCTAGGAGTGTCACCCTCTGCGAGACAACAATACCATCCCCGTACCTGGTCAAGGTCTTGGCAGAGGCGTGCGCCAAGTCGTCAGTCTCCAGACAGACAATGGAGACCACGTACATCTTCGGGAGGTCAAAAACCTCCCTACCAAAAACCGAGGTTTGGATCCGGGCAACAGTCTTCCCGTACCAAACAGGTCAAACCCTCCAAGCAGAGCTTTTGACTTCCCTGTCACCGAGTCAGTTCAAACCCGTCTATCACCCTTCCTTCATATTTGGCGTCCGTAAGAACTCTAATACCAACATGGGACGTCACATTCTATCTTCAGCGACGCAGTAAGGACCTGCCAGCACCATCCTCCAGGTAGGCCACTGCTCGCTAATCTCCCATGGGTGTGAAGCACAGAGACCATGTCGAAGATAAACAGGTTGCTTACCTGTAACTGGTGATCTTCGAGTGGTCATCTGTGCATTCACACCACCCACCCTCCTTCCCCGCTGCTGTCAGCTTCTACATTTTCCATAGGGGTTGATTTGTGGTGGTTCGAAGGAGCTGGCGGTGGGGTTCCTGTGCATGCCCGAGGGACTGGGCACGGAAATCCGTTAAAGAGTTGCTACAATGCCAATCGATCCAGCGCGTGCGCACTAGATCCCATGGGTGTGAATACACAGATGACCACTCGAAGATCATCAGTTACAGGTAAGCATCCTGTTTTTCCCTGATTGTTTCTTTCTGTTCTTGCCCGCAGTTCTGAAGAATGGCAGAAAGTAAGCAACGGTGAGCGAGAGAAGCTGGGAATGACTGTTCAGGACGATGGAGAGTTTTGGTGAGTGCTGTGTGCAAATCAAAACGTAATGAAGAGGAGAATGTGTCCCACTTTCGGTGGAGAATCATTTCACCAGTCCCCCAGAAGGGGGGCTATACATCCTCTTTATTTTATTTCTTATTTGGTGTAGTGGTTAAGTGCGTGGACTCTAATCTGGGAGAACCGGCTTTGATTCCCCACTCCTCCACTTGCAGCTGCTGGATGACCTTGGGAAAGCCGTAGTTCTGTCAGAGCTGTTCTTGAAAAAGAGCCGTTTCTGTCAGAGCTCTCTCAGCTCAGTGGGGCTGAGAGAGCCTTTCGAGGACTGCTCTTAAGAGAACAGCTCTGAAAGAACTTCTTTTTTTTTGTGAAAAGCTCTGAAAGAACTTCTGACTGACCCAAAGTCACCCCAGCAGATGCCTGTGGAGGAGAGGGGAATCGAACCCGGTTCTCCCGGAATAGAGTCCACAGTCCTAACCATTACACCAAACTGGCACTCTTAAGGAGCTTAGGGTACCATATGTGGCATGAGGTTGTGGCAAAACCAAGCTAGTTTCTCACTAAAATTAGAACTTTTCCCGCCATAGGATGGTGTTCGAAGACTTCTGCAAGTACTTCACGGACATCATAAAATGCCGCCTTATAAACACGTCCTACCTGAGCATCCACAAGACGTGGGAGGAAGTGGTCTTGCGAGGGGCGTGGTCAAAACACGAGGAGCCCTTGAAGAACCGCTGTGGGGGCTGCGTCAATCACAGGGACACTTTTCTGCAGAACCCCCAGGTGAGAGGTGTAGGAGATGAGCTCCACATAGGGACTCCTCAAAATGGTTGAGGGGGTGGGAATCCCCAAAGCTACAACCGTGCTCCACAGCTGGGTAAGTTGACCCCTTTCCCCCCTGTGTGCCCCAAATCGTGGGCTTTCTGAACTTTGTGGCTCCCGACATTCTGACCACCAATTTGGAGCTGTTCCGCCAGGCCTTCGGTCAATGCATTTTGCCCCCCCCCCCGTCCTGTTCACGGCACTGTCCTTCTGTCCAGTGCCAGTTTGGTGTAGTGGTTAAATGCGCGGACTCTAATCTGGGAGAATCGGGTTTGATTCCCTATTCTTGCTGCTGCTGATGTGACCTTGGGTCAGTCACAAGCTCTGGCACAGCTGTTCCTGAAAGAGCAGTTTGTGTCAGAGTTCTCTCAGCCCCACCCGCCTCACAGGGTGTCCGTTGTGGGGAGGGGAAGGAAAAGGAGTTTGTAAGCCGCTGAGACACCTTTGGGTAGTGAAGGGTAGGGTATAAATCCAATCTCCTCCTCCTCCTCCTTAACCTTTTCCCAGTACCTTACTTTGGATATCATCTAGGAACTGGAGTCTTTTGGAACGATCACTTTATATGGCATGGATCTGATTTTCAACCTGTTGTTGTTATTTATTGTTTTACTGTTTTAGTGTTGTTCTTATGTGGTGAGCCGCCCTGAGCCCATTTTCTTGGGGTAGGGCGGGGTATAAATCTAATAAATGAATAAATAAAATAAAAGAATAATTCCAGCTACATCAAGGGAGGCACACACCATTCTTACAGGATATTAAATGAGTTTCTTAACTCCTCTCTCTCTTTCCTGTGTTCATAGCTCAGTGGCAGACCCCATGCTTTACATGCCTGAGGTCCCAGGTTCAGTCCCCGGCATCTCCAGGTACAAAGGAGGAGATGTCCAGGCTGGGAAAGAAGCTCTAGTGAAGCCCTCAGATGGGGCAAGGAATCCCCCGCCCTGAGGTCCTGGTGCCAGCCACTGATCGGAATGGCGGCAGAAGAAATTTTTTTTTAAAGAACAGTGACGTCATGCGGTATCACTTCTGGGAACAAGCTGCAAGTGGCAAAGGGTAGCTCTAGGAATTTCTGGAAACTCTGTGGCAAAACCATAGAGTTTCCGGGAATTCCTAGACCTACCCATTATCACTTCTGGTTTGTGCCAGGAAGTGATGGAGAGACGTCGGCAATGTCACCAATGGCGCACACCCCATGTCTCCAACCCTCCCACCAGTCGTCAGGCTCTCTTCCTGGGAGAGTTGCACTGAGAACGTTAAATGGGTCAGTGATCCGGGTGAGGCAGCTTTGTATGCCCTAATATCCAGGGGAGGGGGAGTTGACTAGGCCAAGCAACGGAATCCTAGACGTATTTCGCTAGTGGGGTGCTTCCAGATGGAGGCATTTGTGAATGAGCCGTGCAATGAATTAACTGGGGGTGCGGATGGCGCAACAACTGAGGTGTAGGACTAACGCCACCTAACGTCTCTCTTTTCTTTATTGTACTGACTTAAATGATATTGCTTCAATGGCAAACTGACCACAAGCAGTTTCACGCTGAAACAACCGTATATTATCCCCTTTTACATTTAATTACAGCCGATGAAAATATTGCTACTATGGCAGAACCCTTGCCCACTCTGGCCTGCAGGCCCCGTTCTGCCTTGCCCTCCTCAGGGTTGCCAACTCCCTTGAGGGGCTTTTCCTTTTACTCTCCAGTAGCTGCCACCACTACCTGATCAATATAGGGATTTCCCACTGAAGGGACCAGGACACTCAACTTCCTGGCTACCATGGGGATGGATTAATGCCTTGTGCATCCCTGGGGGAATAGCCAGTTGCCAGCTGCTTGCCTTTCCCACTCCTTGGGTTCCCCTTTGAAAATAGCGTGTCCAAAACCGTGTGTGGGGGGGTCCTATGTGGTACAGAGAACCACTTCCAGGGTCAAAAGTTTAAAGTATTTATTCAAAAGAAAATGTTTACAAGCATACTTTTCGTACCATGCCAGAGTGAAGCAAGGAAGAACAAAAGAAATGGGCTAAACGCAAATCCTCTGTCCCTCTCAGCTATACATGCCCCAACAGATATTAAAATTAGGACAGGCTCTTTTCGCTTAAGTCAGTTACAGCTCCCTACAGAGTCTTCATTGCCTCGAGGGTTGGTCCAGCTCTCTAGGCTAGTCGCGTGGTCCAAAGGGGAGGCCTGCTCCCAACCTTAGACAAGAGGTCTGTTCAGCTCAGCATCCCAAGGAAAAGAGAGACCTCGCCTTCCCCTTGCAAGGTGGTTTTAACAAATCTCTGTCTCCTCCCCTTTGACCCCGGTCAGCCCAGGTCAAGGCTTCTTTTCCTGTTGTCTCCAAAGAGTTACTTCCTCATCCTCTCTAGAATTTTGACACCCCGAACTCTATGTTCCCTGCTAGTGTGTGTGTGTGTGGGGGGGGTTGAACTAGTCCATCTCATTGTCTCTCCTGCTAGATTTATTAGCATTCCTTAAGAGGTGCGTCTGGAAGGTTAACTTCCTCCCCTCTTCTGCTTGTTCTTAGCTCCGAGGGGGGGGAGAGAAATGGTTAAAATGCACAGTCAAATCCTGCTCGTTGCCAGCCTCCCAGGAGACAAGGCATTTCTCCACCGCTACAACATCTGAATTACGCTATACGAAGAAAGATAAGATTTATAAGATATGAACTGCCCTAAATATTTCTTCCCCAGAAACAACAGAGCAGCAAAGTATGTTCCAAAGTCTCAATATGACCACCCCCGCGCTTTTTCGTCTGTTTGTTTTCTCCAGTATGTTTTTGACGTGAAGAAAACAGAGGACGAAGTGCTCATCAGCATTCAACAGAAGCCCAAACGGACCAGTCGGAAGGAGGGCAAAGGGGAGAACTTAGCTATCGGGTTTGACATCTTCAAGGTGAGTCATGTATTTTCAGGGGTCATTTCGTAGAAGAAGAGGTGCAGGAGCTCATTAGCATAACTCATTAGCATGACTTATTTGCCTATGCCACACCCCCTGGCATCACCGGAAGTGTGTCAGAAGGCAACACCCACCGCTCAGGCTCCACGGGACTGTTTTGGATTGCTAGCTATTGGGGGGGGGGCGTGACCCCTGCGTATTTTCATACAGACGGCTGGCCTATCAGTGCCTTTCGGATATGCGCTTACCTTTGTGTAGCCGTTCTGTAGAAAGGCAGGATATCCTGACGGCCGTGCATGCATGCTGAAAATATCGTTTTACCTTCCCTCCCCCCCTTCACATTTATAAACTGACATTTCATTACGAAAGGGCACGTTTTCTTGCTGTCAGGGCTGTAGAGGGGTAAAGTTCTGGAAAACATAATAGCTATCCATGCAACTGTCTCCAAAAGATTAACTCCTGTTCGAGAGAAGGTCATGCCCTTGTTAGAGGAGCATCTTACAAAGGTATTTTGTCTTGATATGTAGTTTTGATAATGTCACAATGTACAGTAATAATTTGTTCTATTATTTGGGGGAGGGGTTTTTAACTGCAATTGATGTAGCCCATACGAGCCTCAGGAAGCTAAGTAGGGCCAGCCATGGCCCGTACTTGGATAGGAGACCACCAAGGAAGTCCGGGGTTGCACGGCAGAGGCAGGCAAATGCCAACCTCTGCTCATCTCTTGCCTTGAAAACCCCTTGAGGGGTCACCATGAATGTGTTGCAACTTGGTGGTACTTAGTTGTGATTTATTATCCCAGCACTGCTGGAACCACATAGATTAATGTATAATTTTGCCATCTTTTAAATGGTTTTAAGCTATTTATTGTGATAATATAACGATTCTGTCAATTTTCTTGCCACCCACCCTGAGCCCGCTTGCGGGAAGGGTGGGATATAAACCCAACCAATAAAATAAAATAAGCTGTCATTATAGATTCAGGTGGTGAGCAGTGTTCCCTCTAAGCTGAGTTAGTGTGAGCCGGCTCACAGTTTTTTAGCCTCCAGCTCACAGATTTTTGTCTTAGCCCAGGAAGGAGGACTCCAGAGCAAACTGATTGATGCGGCTGCCAAATGGCTTACTCACAACTTTAATGCCGAATCGCTCACAAAGTAGAATTTCTGCTCACAAGACTCCACAACTTAGAGAGATTATTGGTGGGGAGCCGTGTTGGTCTGAAGCAATAGAACAAAGTTTGAGTCCAGGGGCACCTTGAAGACCCACAAAGTTTAATTCTGGATATAAGCATTCATGTGCATGCAAGAAAGCCTCTGCTTGGCATGCGGAAGGTCCCAGGTTCAATCCCCGGCATCTCTAGTTAAAAGAACCAGGCAGGAGGGGATGTGAAAGACCTCAGCCTGAGACCCTGGAGAGCTGCTGCCAGTCTGAATAGACAGGATTGACCTTGATGGACTGACGGTCTAGGACATCTCCCTGTGTTCATGTGGAATTTGGAACAGGAGATGCAAATAAAAGGCCACGCCCCCTGGATTTCAGCAGCGCTTGCTTCCCCGCAGGTGGAGCTGAATCGGACCTTCCGGATGCACACTCTGCAGCAGAAAGTAGCCAGTTCCATCTACATCAACTCTCGCAGCGTCTTCCTGAGGACGGACCAGAAAGAAGGCCGCTACATCATCATCCCCACAACCTTCGACCCCGACCACGTGGGCGAGTTCCTTCTCAGGGTGTTCACAGATGTGCCTTCCGATTGCCAGTAAGGGGAGGGGGCTGTCTCACCGCGCCTCCCCCTCTCCTTTCCGCCTTCCCGCTTGGGGGGTCTGTCTCTCGTCTTGGGCCACGCCCCTGAGGCATTAGAATGCTTTTCTGGTTAAAAACTGTGACATCACGCCATGTCGCTTCTGGGTAGAAGCCGGAAGTGACAAAGGGGTAGCTCTAGGAATCACTGGGAACTGTATGGTAATTCTAATTTCTCTGTGGGAACTCTATGGTAATTCTGACAATTTCTCTGTGGGACCTCTATGGTAATTCTGACAATTTCTCTGTGGGAACTCTGTGGTAATTCTGACAATTTTTCTGAGGGAATTCTATGGTAATTCTGACAATTTCTAGACCAGAAGTGACAGTGGGTAGCTCTCAGAATCACTGGGAACTCTACGGTGAAAAGGGTGGGAGGTGGACAAGAGGAAATGCTTGGTCAATGCACACACAACCAACTTGTGGGGCTCAGGGCCTAGGCCTCTGAGCCTGTTGAAGCATGCCATTCATCCTCCCAAAACCACTCTAAAGAATTTTTTAGAGGCTTCCGGAAACCCAACTTCCACTTCTGGAGCTGGGAAAGAAGACGTGGTTGTGGACAGGTCTGAGGAAGAAGCAGTCTGGGACTTTTCAGTTTAGAAAAGAGGTGACTAAGGGGTGGGAATGTGATAGAGGTTTATAAAATAATGCACAGGGTGGAGAGAGTAGGCAGAGAAAGAACCTTTTCTCCCTCTGCCAAAAGATTAGAACTTGAGGGCATCCAGTGAAGCTGACGGGTCGTAGGTTCAGGACAGACAAAAGGAAATACTAATTTACACAGAGTGATTAAAATGTGGAATTCGCTCCCCGAGGATGTAATGATGGCCACAGGAATAGACGCCCCCCTAAAAGGGGAATTAGAGAGATTCACGGAGGAGAGGTCTGTCAGTGGTTACAAGCCATGGTAGCTGAGGGGAACCTCCACATTCAGAGGCACTAAGCCTCTGAATCCCAGTGCCAAGAGACAACATCAGGGGAAGGCCTCGGCCTCTCTGCCCTGTTGTTGGCCCTCCAGAGGAACTGGCTGGTCCCTGTGAGAAACAGGATGCTGGACTAGATGGACCATCACTGGTCTGATCCAGGAGGGCTCTCCTGATGTTCTTATCAGGGGAAGGCCTCGGCCTCTCTGCCCTGTTGGTGGCCCTCCAGAGGAACTGGTTGGCCCCTGTGTGAGACGGGATGCTGGAATAGATGGACCCTCACTGGTCTGATCCAGCAGGGCTCTTCTTAGGTGCTTATCAGGGGAAGGCCTCGGCCTCTCTGCCCTGTTGGTGGCCCTCCGGAGGAACTGATTGGCCCCTGTATGAGACAGGAGGCTGGACTAGATGGACCCTCACTGGTCTGACCCAGCAGGGCTCTTCTTAGGTTCTTATCAGGGGAAGGCCTCGGCCTCTCTGTCCTGTTGTTGGCCCTCCAGAGAAACTGGTTGGCCACTGTGTGAGACGGGATGCTGGAATAGATGGACCCTCACTGGTCTGATCCAGCAGGACTCTTCTGAGGTTCTTAAAGAAAATTTAGATCTCTGTTCTGCTGCTTCTTACAATGATCTTCTTATGGTATTTTGTCACCCCAAATAAGAAAAACCCTGCTTGACCAGTGGCCCGGCTAGTCCAGCATGCTGTTTAAAACAGTGGCCAGCATTAGAGGCTAAGACCTTCCCCGATGTTGTCTCACTGGACTTAGACTGGAGTAACTCTGCACGTTATTGTACTGACAATCTTATAACAAGTAGATATACTGGGTAATCTGAATTTCCAGCTTTTGGTATAGTACCGGTAGTTAGGAGCGCAAACACTAATCTGGGAGGACCAGGTTTGATTCCCCATGCCTCCATATGCAGCTGCTGGTGTGACCTGGGGTCAGTCACAAGTTCTCTCAGAGCTGTTCTCTCAAGGGCAGTTCTTGAAAGAGCTCTCTCAGCCCCAAGTATCTCACAGGGTGTCTGTTGTGGGGAGGGGAAGGAGTTTGTGAGCCGCTCTGAGACTCCTTTGGGTAGGGAACGGCGGGGTATAAATCCAATCTCCTCCTCCACCTCCTCCTCCAAGCCTTTTCATTGTGGAGATATAAGGGGAAAGGTATATCTCCACAAAGAAAAGGGCTAGAGACTTTTCGCTAACGAAAGCTGGAAATCCACAAAATCTAGTACACATGGAACCCTGGAATCTGGGGGGGCCCCCATCCCCCCCTTCATGGCAGCACCACCCTTTGCAGCTCTAAGATGTTCAATTTATTGCATCTTTATCCTGCCCTTCTGACAAGGACCATAAGGTGGAATACCTTGTTTCTCCTTTCTTGAAAGTCCTGTCTCCGTGGTTCTTTCCTCGCTCTGGCCGCTCTCGCTGGCACTTTTCACCGGCTATATCCTGGGGCTCAGTGGGCGTGTCGGGATTTGGATAATAAGGGACGCTCGAAGTTCTGCGGCTGAAGTTACTGATGTCCCCCGTGTGTTTCCCCCTTTTCCTTTCAGAGAGCTGACCCTGGACGAGCCCCCTCACACCTGCTGGAGCGGAATGTGCGGCTACCCGCAGCTGGTATCGCAAGTCCACGTCGTCTCGGGGACCGGGCTGAAGAACCATAGTTCTCAAGACGGTACCAAATCCTCTAGTATTTGGAGCTAGTTTGTTCCTGAAAGTTCAAACAGTCCCCACAGACGATTGCCCTGCGAGTGTACGTCTTTGAAGGGCAAGAAACGAATAGCCCCTTTGGTGTAGTGGTTAAGTGCAAGGACTCTAATCTGGGAGAACCGGGTTTGATTCCCCACTCCTCCACTTGCACCTGCTGATGTGACCTTGGGTCAGTCACAAGCTCTGGCACAGCTGTCCTTGAAAAAGAGCAGTTTGTGTCAGAGTTCTCTCAGCCCCACCCACCCCACAGGGTGTCTGTTGTGGGGAGGGGAAGGGAAAGGAGTTTGTAAGCCGCTCTGAGACACCTTTGGGTAGTGAAGGGCGGGGTATAAATCCAATCTCTTCTTCTTCTTCTTCTTTAAAAACTTAACGAAATTTGTGGCAGTAGAACGAAGTCTGAATCCAGGGGCACCGTTAAGACCAGCAAAGTTTTATTCCGGGTATAAGGATGCACACGAAGGTTTATACCCAGAATAAAACTTGGTTGGTCTTAAAGGTGCCCCTGGACTCTAAATTCGGTCCTGCCGCTTCAGACCAAGACGGCTACCCATCTGAACAAAATTTGTGGCAGGGGATAAGCTTTCTAAAAGGGGCCGCGGCATCACTCCCCCAGACATAAGAACGTAAGCCATGCTGGATCAGACCCAGGGCTATTTTGGGGCAGGAACGCACAGGAATGGAGTTCCGGCTGGCTCCCAAGTTGGCCACGCCCAGCAGGAACTCATTAGCATAATAGGCCACACCCAACAGCAGAAACTCATGAGGATTGGCTACATTCGGGGTGTGTGGCCTAACATGCGAAGGAGTTCCTGCTGCAAAAAAAGCCCTGGGTTTTGACAACAAACAAAGTAAACAGAATAACAAGCAAAAGGTGGGTGTGGCTGGATAACCACACTTCTGGTAACATGGGGGTGTGGCCTAATGGGCTAATGAGCTGTGCTGCCAGGGGTGTGGCCTAATATGCTAATCAGTTTCTGCTGTTGGGTGTGGCCTATTATGCTAATGAGTTCCTGCTGGGCTTTATCTACAAATAGAGCCCTGATCAGACCAATGGCCCATCTAGTTCAAGACTCTGTGTCACGCAGTGGCCAAAACCCAGGGCGCCATCAGGAGGTCCACCAGTGGATCTAGAACTCCAGAAGCCCTCCCACTGTTCTCCCCCCCCCAAGCACCAACAATGCAGAGCATCACTGCCCCAGACATAATGAGAGAAATTAAGTAGTATCACAAGGAAGTGAGAGATATAGTATCACAAAGCAGGTGAAGGATTCAGGGCTGAAGAGAAAAATAGGGGGGGGGGGAATGGTGGCAGCCTGCAAGAGTTCAGGCGGCCTTTACACAGTCGAGGCTGGCCACAGCTGTCCTCAGCCTTACGGCGGCCATTTTGTTTCCCTCAGTGGATCCCTACGTGATCATTAAGTGTGAAGGAGAGAAGGTCCGTTCGCCAGTGGTGAAGAACACGCCGACGCCAGAGTTCGATGTGAAAGGCCTTTTTTACCGCAAGAAACCGGGGCAGCCGATCCTCATTCAGGTACAGTCTTCCTCAGGACGGGCAAGGTGCCAGGAGTGCAAACGGTACCCTCCGCAAACCAAAAAAGCAAGTGACGATCAGACGCTTGCATAGAAATTATGAGCCGTGAAGTGTCCTCCTTCTCTGTCTGTCCCAGGGGTCCCCACCCTTTAGACCCTGTAGGCACCTTTGGAATTCTGACACAGCCTGGTGAGCGCAGCCACAAAATGGCTGCCAGAGTAGGCGGAGCCAGACACAAAATGGCTGGTCACAAAGTGAAGATCCTTGTGCTGTGGTGGCAGCTTCATCTGTCTGTCTGTCTCTTCCCGGTTTGAGAGGAAAAGTCATCAGAGGTTATATTGGTGACAGCATTCATCTGTTTAAGACTGTATTCATCTCCAGTGCCATCCTAAGCAGAGTCATGCCTGTTTAAGACCACTAACTCCAGTAGACGTAAGAAGAAGAGCCCTGGAGGTTCAGACCAGCGGTCCACCTAGTCCAGCATCCCGTCTCACACAGTGGCCAACGAGTTCCTCTGGAGGGCCAACAACAGGGCAGGGAGGCCGAAGCCTTCCCCTGATAAGAACATCAGAAGAGCCCTGCTGGATCAGACTAATAGTCCCATCTAGTCCAGCATCCTGTCTCACACAGGGGCCAACCAGTTCCTCTGGAGGGCCAACAACAGGGCAGGGAGGCCGAGGCCGTCCCCTCATAAGAACATCAGAAGAGCCCTTTCCTAATCTCCGAAACAGCCTGTCAATTAACAGCCTTGGTCAGTTCTCGCAGACGATGGGCTGTGACTTCCTTGACTGAGTCAGTCCACCTCATCCAGTGCTCCCTCTTAGCTGTGGGGTCTCGTGAGCAAAGATTCTACTTGGTGAGCTGCCGGCGTTAAAGTTGTGAGCGAGCAATTTGGCCGCTGCGCCAGTTAGTTGGCTCTGGAGCCCCCCTTCCTAAGCTAAGGCAAAAATGTGAGAGCCGGAGGCTAAAAAACTGTGAGCTAGCTCACACTCAGCTTAGAGGGAACACTCTTTTTCATAGCATTCTTATCTGTTCCAGTGCCTCTTGTCTTCTCATATTGTGAACAAGATACGATAGCCTCACTTTAGTAATTTGAGCTTCCAGGGAGAGTTCAGGCTTGATGTGATCTTTTTTTTGTCGATCAGTCGCGCAGTCGAGTCTGACTCTTCGCTGCCCCATGGACCACATCACGCCAGGCCCTCCTGTCTTCCGTCGTCCTCCGGAGTTTGCTCAACTTCATGTTCGTTGCATCGATAACACTGTCTAACCCTCACATCCTTTGCCGTCCCCGTCTTCTTTGACCTTCAATCTTTCCCAGAACCAGGGTCTTCTCCAGTGAGTGCTCCCTTCTCAATTGGTGGCCAAAGTATTTGAGCTTCAGCTTCAGGATCTGGCCTTCCAGGGAACAGTCAGGATTGATTTCTTTGAGGATTGGCTGGTTTGATCTCCTTGTAGTCCAGGGGACTCTCAAGAGTCTTCTTCTTGTTGTTGTTCAGTCACACAGTCGAGTCCGACTCTTTGCGACTCCATGGACCAGATCATGCCAGGCCCTCCTGTCTTCCGCCGTCTTCTGAAGTTTGCTCAAATTCATGTTCGTTGCATCTATGTCCAACTATCTCATCCTTTGCCGTCCCCTTCTCCTCTTACCTTCAGTCTTTCCTAGCATCAGGGTCTTCTCCAGTGAGTGCTCCCTTCTCATTTGGTGGCCAAAGTATTTGAGCTTCAGCTTCAGTCTCTGGCCTTCCAGGGAACAGTCAAGGTTGATTTCTTTTAGGACTGACTGATTCAATCTCCTTGCAGTCCAAGTGCACTCTTCTCCAGCATCATAATTCAAACACATCTACAACCCACTAATTTAGTCTTTTTTGGTGGTCCAGGGTATCTGTAAAAAGATTGAAGGTCAAAGAAGACGGGGACAGCAAAGGATGAGATGGTTAGACAGTGTCATCGATGCAACGAACATGAAGTTGAGCAAACTTCAGAGGACGGCGGATGACCAGAAGGCCTGGCGTGATCTGGTCCATGGGGTCGCGAAGAGTCGGACTCGACTGTGCGACTGAACAACAACGACACTTTCTGCCATTAGAGTGGCATCGTCTGGCTATCTGGTTCCTATCTATACCTTGTGGCTAATTACCACTGATGGACCTCTGCTCCATATGTTTATCTAATTCCCTCTTGAAGCCGTCCATGCTTGTAGCCGCCACCACTTCCTGTGGCAGTGAATTCCATGTGTTCATCACTCTTTGGGTGAAGAAGTACATCCTTTTATCCGTTCTAACCCGACTGCTCAGCAATTTCATTGAGTGCCCACGAGTTCTTGTATTGTGAGATAAGGGAGAAAAGTACCTCTTTCTCGACCTGTTCTATCCCATGCATAATCTTGTAAACCTCAATCATGTCACCCCTCAGCCGTCGTTCCTCCAAGCTAAAGATCCCCAAGCGCTTTAACCTTTCTTCATAGGGA